GGTGGCGGCGGTGGTCCGAGTGACGACAACGTCGATCCCATGGAGGGCCTGAAAGCCACCCAGAGCAGAGTGAACGAGGCTCACGCCTCTGGCGCTCACTTGCTAGAGGACATAACGGAGCTTATCCGACTGGGTGGAGAGATTCGTCAGCACTTCAGTGCTGCCTGTCCCGAAAAGGCGGAGGAGGAAAGTGTTAACGCGACACGATCAGACAGCACAGGCAGCAATGACAGTTTTGAAAGCGACGGCTCTTTCGGACTCGCAATTTCTGCTTACCTTCTTGGTGAGTCATATTTTTGCCCTCTGTAATAGAAGCCAATTGAAACCGTAGTTTTTTAAAACTCCCTCAATCAGAATTTTTATTTGAAAACTCGATGTGCAACTGATCTGGAAACGAGGCCGACGTAAATGTCACTGGATTTGATCTGTTGTTTGCTTAAGGCAGTTTATAAGGTCATGGCACAGCACTTAAGAGCTCGTTCTTGTTGGCTGTTTTAATTTATTCTCCCATTGGTTGGTTTGATAACCAATCGGTCTTCTCGGTTAATTCGTTCAGTAGCCAATTGTCATTTGATTTTCGGTGTGTGGAGTAGATACGATTGCCTTCGTTCGAATCCCTGAGCAGACACATCAGTTTGCAGGCAGCACAGTCGCAGTTAACGGGTGAGCAGTTTAATTTTTTTATAAATAAATGCTGGTAGCGTCCGCAACAGCGCCATGTAAGGTAGTTTCGAGCAGTATAGATAAAGAATTTAAAGAATAAGTTGCTCTTCAAGAGAGGGGAGGAGCGAGACTGAGCCGAGTCTGATACTGTCATTTAAAACAACATTGTCTATCAGACATGCATGTGTGATTATTCAGCAGAAAGTCAAGTTTTCTTGCATAGAAAGATTCTTCTTTGCCTTGTGCTAATTCCTCTTGATAACTGCCAAATTATTAGCTATAATATTGAGATGGGGACCGTTGGCAGGGGTAAAAAGTATGTCGGAGATCTCATGCGGAGAGACTGGCTGTTGTGTAAAAGTCAGATTACAGTTGTACACGTTATCAAATTCATGTCTCTTTTGATCAGTGAACTGGAGCATTATCCTGGAAAATTATAGTGTCCATTCTGCGCCCATGGATGCCATTATAAGCGAAGGCATCCTTTAGGTTCTCAAGAAACAACTAGCTGTTAATAGGATCTATAGTCGACCGCCAAATTGACCGCTCTCCGCCGGCGCAGCGTGTTACTTTGGAAAGTTCTTTCCGCACATGACCACATAAGCTAACCTAAAAATAGGATCTCATCGCAGGAGTAAATGCCCTTCCAGAATAGGGGCCGATGATCAATATATTTTTAAGCAAGTAAAAAAAGCGTTCTCCAATAAATTTTCTTCTTAAAAATGGCTTGCTTGTGGAATTTTGTGTGTGCAATTCAAATTTCTGCATCCGTTTCCTAATTTTCTGCATAGAGAACGCCCGCAGATGTTCCCTGTGAATAGTCTCAATGGGCATATAGTAGTAATTTTTTTGGTGTACCTCAAATACACTCGTTGTCATGCTTAGTTGTGGATCGTTTTAGTCCGCCCAGTTTGTTTCTGGTCACAGTTCTGTCTTAAATAATGCGCCACAGAGTGATCTTACCTACGTTGAACATACCTGCTTCCGACTCACGCGGCACTCTTGCTCCAAATTTCTGTATTCGTTCATATTCAACTGTAGATAGAAACTGTTTGGGCATCCTTCGCGTACGGTGGGACAGGGAAAAGGGACGGCATATCGAGGGTGTTCATTAGCATGCCTGTTTGCGATCCTCATGTGGCAGAAGAATCTACAGCTGCACAAGTTCATTGCTTAAAATGATGACACAAAACGTACGAGATTAGTAAAACAGGATTTTTAAAATGAATCCGATCTTCTTTTCCCATCCTTGCATTTACCTGATCTTTAGTGAACGCAAAACGACATTTTTCCTCCTCTGAAACGATATAATTGTTCTTTTATAGAACAACACCATGCACAAGAAATTTTGATCCAAAGTTTTTAATAACATAAGAAATTCCTTGGATATCAAGTAACGTTGGATTTGGCCAAATTGTGCCCCCCTTTTTTTATGTCAATACACTAATCTGAACTGAACTCTTTTCTTGTACCCAGATTTTGTCTCTAAACAAAAATATAAACCTCAATTGTGTGTTAAACCACCGCCTCAAACGTCGATCTCGATCTGAGTTAGGACCTCTACTACACCCTGATAACTTCTTCTAGCTATAGGTTCTATTCACGGAACCGTGGAGGCGCGGTATCTACCGCTATTCGTGGGAATCAAAAATGATTGTCTATCGCGATGGGTGGGTAAAATTAAAAGTATACATAAGCGACTGGTATTAGTGTTAGTACTATAAATAGTGCTCCTTTAGTCGATAAGATAATAATCGATCAAGATTTACGAATCAGTATTGTTTTTATTTTAAATACAAAAAAACTCCTTTCCTAAAAGCGAAATCGTTGTACCGGGCGGGTATAGTTTTCTTCCGTTCAATTGCGCGCACGCGAAGAGTGAACAGCAAAAATAGGGGTGCTTACTAACATTTTTTTTCTGTAGACCAATTGGGCCGCTGCTTTTGCCACGTAGCACAAAAGTTACTAGCCTTGTCCAGTTTTTTTTAATTGTTCATTAGGTAACGCCTTTATCTTCACCAGCGCTTCTTTCTACCCATTCAAATCAAAACTCAAGAATATTGCTCACAGAAAATGCCCTGACATTTACGTCAACAGAACGCTATACTCGCTAAAAAAACAGAAAGCTGTGTGTTCCGAGACCACAAATACTGTACCGCACCTTTAGGGGTACTATACCAATGGTCGTTGGGTGTCGTATTTCATTTTTTGCATTCAGCGAACTTTGCCATTGTTTTACTACCAAACCTCATGCTATTTTGCATAGAATATGCTCCTAACCAAGGATTGACAACTCAGTATGATAGTTCCTCTAAATCAGTATTATGAACTGTTGGTTGGTGGTTTAGTAATTTCGGAAGGACAGCTGGAGAGCATACGTAAGCTTTCGATAAATTCTCATCTAGCCAGCCTAGGCGAAGGCAGAGGAGAGAAAGAGAACGTAGAAGAGGACGCTTAAGCAACCGTGGGCCATGCCAGACGCAGAGTTTGCAGGCGGTTCTTTTGTGTACAGAAAACTGACTTTCACAACCGTATAGCGGTCACTTGCTGATCTAGGGACTTGGCCATCGGTCGCCTAACTGCCCTCCTCCCCCTTCCGCTCCACTGGATTCACCAAAATCTCCCCGCTACGTAACCAGCCTTCTCTTATTGACCTCTTTACCTATACCCACGGCCAACTTGTATAGTAAGACGAATATTATTGACCGCATGTAAATGACCGTTCCCATATAAACTTACCGGCTTGCTGAGTAATTATCGAAAGTTTATATACGCTCGTCAACTGCCCTTCTAAATTCTCTGATAGAAATTCTTGCCATTTCAGTAATTTGCCTAAGCATGTCATCGTTGGCTTGCTAATTGTCATTAACTGTTACCTTTTCACCCATGAACAGAGGAGGCCAGGGAAGACATGCTGCGCCTGGCTGAACCGTCAGACTATGAAGCCAGCTCCCTCCACCAGACCGGTGAAGATGCCCTGCTCCATCCATCTGCGGCGGAGGAGAAGGAGGAGGACGCTTCAGACTCGCATCGGCCCGCTTGGGAAGATGCTCCAGGTTCACCGAGAACATCGAACCAATCCACAGATGGCACTTCAATATTTGATTCCTTACCCGATTTTATTGATGTACGCCTCACTAGTCTGAATCGGCTTGAGGAATTGGCGCGAAATTTGCTGGGCAAGGCAGCTGACAAACTGAACCGCCTGGTTCAGCTCTATACTGAGATAAATGAGGTAGGTGACTTTTTAGATGTTTGATACCGCAAGTTTTAATGTTAACCGACGTGATTATTTTTTAATACGTAGGTCTCACTTCAGTTACTCCCTTAACCTTAAAGAGGATCATTGAACAGAGTATCAGTATCAGTATCAGTATATTGAGGGATGTGTAGGGAAAATTCCTTTGAGTGCCC